CTCCTCCCTCCTTTCCTGCCTTCCTCCCTCTTTCCTGCCTTCCTCCCTCCTTCCTGTTCCTTCCCCCTCCTTTCCTGCCTTCCTCCCTCCTTTGCGGCCTTCCCTGAGGAAGGCAGGAAAGGAGGGGAGGAAGGCAGGAAAGGAGGGAGGAAGGCAGGAAAGGAGGGGAGGAAGGCAGGAGAGGAGGGGAGGAAGGCAGGAGAGGAGGGAGGAAGGCAGGAGAGGAGGGAGGAAGGCAGGAACGGAGGAGAGGAAGGCAGGAAAGGAGGGGAGGAAGGCAGGAAAGGAGGGAGGAAGGCAGGAAAGGAGGGAGGAAGGCAGGAAAGGAGGGAGGAAGGCAGGAGAGGAGGGAGGAAGGCAGGAGAGGAGGGAGGAAGGCAGGAACGGAGGAGAGGAAGGCAGGAAAGGAGGGGAGGAAGGCAGGAAAGGAGAGAAGGAAGGAAAAAAGGAAAAGATTCACAGATGCATAAGAATGACGGCAGTCCCTGAACTTGGGTTGGGCCGTACCGGATTGAGGATGAAGGCTTCTTCGGTGAATGTAAATGGCCATCTCTCTTCTCCTCTGGTTTAGGTATTAACCATCTTTTCTGCCTCCAACTACTATGAAGTCGGCAGCAACAGAGGGGCCTATGTCAAACTGGGGCCAGCCTTGACCCCCCATATTGTGCAGTACCAAGCTAACAAGGCGACCTGCACGCTGACCATGAGGCAAAGGCAAGACCTTTCAATGAGTCGTTTCCAGAAAAAAAATATATTGTTCGTAGACCCTTTGAAGTGTCAAATGTCATTACGTTTATGCAAATTCAAGTGCGAATTGAGAACACAGCTGCGTCAGGCAAGGGCTGGCAGCCGCGTGGCGGCAGGGCCTCCCCTCTCCTCATGCTTTTCACACAGCTGCCCACTCATCACTGAGGAGAGCAACGAATTTGTTTTCTGCAGAAATTATTTTCCAATGGCTGTATCTTGGGTAAAGTCCATGTCCCAGGCCACAAAGTGTTACTATTCTATTTTCTCTCATCCTTAAAGGGTCTGTGTCACCCCAATAAAACAGAGCCAGAGCTTCTTTCACTATCTGCAGACCTGGCAGCTGGACTTCAGTGCACACACGGTTAACGATGCCTCTTTCTTTCCAGAAAGAGGGCTGTAATATTAAATTGTGGCTGTTGAGATGATTCTGTGTTCCAACCTTGGATGGGAGCTCATGACATATTAAGTGTTGTGAAGAATTTATGTACAGGCCGGGCGCGGTGGCTCATGCCTATAATCCTAGCACTCTGGGAGGCCGAGGCGGGTGGATTGCTCGAGGTCAGGAATTCAAAACCAGCCTGAGCGAGACCCCGTCTCTACTATAAATAGAAATAAATTAATTGGCCAACTAATATATATAGAAACAATTAGCCAAGCATGGTGGCGCATGCCTGTAGTCCCAGCTACTCGGGAGGCTGAGGCAGGAGGATCACTTGAGCCCAGGAGATTGAGGTTGCTGTTGACGCCACGGCACTCACTCTAGCCTGGGCAACAAAGCGAGACTCTGTCTCAAAAAAAAAAAAAAAAGTAAAAAAAAAGATTAAAAAAAAAAAGAAGAAAAGAATCTATGTATATGGCCTCACCGTAAACTTATGAATTAGATATTGTTACTCATTTCAATTTTATATATGAGATCATTAAGGAACAAAGGTTAAATCGGCTGGCCTATGGCCGCCCAGCTAGTAAGCAGTGACGGCCAGCTTGGACTGTGGCCGCCTGCGTCAGAGCCACGTGTGCAGCCACGTGTGCAGCCGCGGTGCAGCGCTGCCCCCCCCCCCCCGAAAAGGGGCCCTCAGAGAACGTAGGTGCTAACAGACACGGTATACAGTTTCGGTGCTACGGAACAAGCTTCTTTAATTATTTAGCCTAAATTAGAAATCAAAATAGATAAAGTTAGCATAAATAAAATAGATGGAGAACACATTAATATTTAGCATTTTACCCTGTGTGAATGCTGTACAGTATATTATTTTAAGTCACTCTGAGTTATTAAACACAGGCTAGGCTCATTCAGAAGTATCAAGTAAAAATTTAAACTCACCAAGTGAGTCAAACATACCGTGCAACAAAATCATCTATGGAGCTTCATAAAACATCAGCCATCTGAACCTCACTCAGCCCTGCCAAGGTAGAATGGCGGGGGGAGGCTGGCATCTGGAGGACCTAATTCCATAGAACGTAAGTTTTTTTTTTTTTTTGAGACAGAGTCTCACTCTGTTGCCCAGGCTAGAGTGAGTGCCGTGGCGTCAGCCTAGATCACAGCAATCTCAAACTCCTGGGCTCAAGCGATCCTCCTGCCTCAGCCTCCTGAGTAGCTGAGACTACAGGCATGTGCCACCATGCCCAGCTGATTTTTTCTATATATATTAGTTGTGCAATTAATTTTTTTCTATTTTTAGTAGAGATGGGGGTCTCACTCTTGCTCAGGCTGGTTTCGAACTGCTGACCTTGAGCAATCAGCCTGCCTCAGCCTCCCAGAGTGCTAGGATTACAGGTGTGAGCTACCACCCCCGGCCTGTATGTGTTTTAATAAGATAATCAGAGAACATTCAGCTCTTTGAAACATTCACTGATTGCATTAAATAAGCACCATATCACCTGATTGACCCAAAAGCCACTTACTCAATGGCTTCAACTACCTCGAGCACAATGGAGAACCTAGAAATCAGGGGCCACGGTGGAGCAGCCATAACATACGTCTCAGTGCCCATAAACTCAAGAGAGCACACTTTTCTTAGAGCCTGTCCTTTTCGTTAAAATCCACTTCTCGCGATAATGGCGTGGCCGGCCTGGGGCCAGCTGTCCACACGGACAGCTAGCCCCTTGCTAGCTTTGTGACCTTGAGGCCATTGCCCTGTATCTTCATCCTGGGCATACTGGCGGTGCCTACTTCAGTGGATACCCAGGGATCCATGAGGTGATCTGTGCAGGGCTCTGCATTCAGTGAGTGGGCAACGCAGGCCGCTCCACACAGAGATGCGAGCCTCGTCCAGCCCGACGGCTCCTGAGGCCGTTGCCATAATCCGTCTCTATGTGACAGTCCTGGCCACAGTTTTCCAGGAAAAGGCTTAAATGCTTTGTCTTTAAGCAAAGCATTTTTGCTTAAAGTGACTAGTGTATTTTTTAAATGTTTTCAAGGTCCCATACTTCTTTTAGCCTCTGATAAAATAGCAAACTCCAGAAAAAGCACACATGCTCACAGACTCATGAAATTTGGGATGAGTTTTAGGTGGTTCACAGTTTGTAAAAGGTCTGTGGAGCCCACTGAAGGTCCGTTATGCTAACTACCTTAAACTGCAACGCAGACTTTCATCAAACATGATTCAAATGTTTTCTTAAAAAAAAACAAAAAACTTTTAGCCATTGAGAAGATAGGTTATCTGGTTATTATTTATAGAATGGCTGGTTCCTTAATGAGACACTTCATATTAAGTGCATTTATTTTTTATCTCTTTTTATATTCCTGTTTATTCAACTACCGATATTTATTGAGCACTTTCTTTGGGCCAAGTGCTGTGCCACCATTACTCTATTGGCCCAGTAAGAATGAGAAAATTAGGCGGGGCGAGGTGGCTCACGCCTGTAATCCTAGCTCTCTGGAAGGCCAAGGCGGGTGGATTGCTCAAGATCAGGAGTTCGAGACCAGCCTGAGCAAGAGCGAGACCCCCGTCTCTACTATAAATAGAAAGAAATTAATTGGCCAACTAATACATATAGAAAAAAATCAGCCGAGCATGGTGGCGCATGCCTGTAGTCCCAGCTACTCGGGAGGCTGAGGCAGGAGGATTGCTTGAGCCCAGGAGTTTGAGGTTGCTGTGAGTTAGGCTGATGTCATGGCACTCACTCTAGCCTGGGCAACAAAGCGATACTCTGTCTCAAAAAAAAAAAAAAAAGAATGAGAAAATTAGACTGGGCGTGCGGTGGCTCACACCTGTAATCCTAGCACTCTGGGAGGCCGAGGGAGGAGGATTGCTTGAGCTCAGAAGTTTGAGACCAGCCTGAGCAAGAGTGAGACACCATCTCTACTAAAAATAAAAATAAATTAGCTGGACAAGTAAAAATAGAAAGAGTTAGCTGGACCTGGTGGTGCATGCCTGTAGTCCCAGCTACCCAGGAGGCTGAGGCAGGAGGATCGCTTGAACCAAGGAGTTGGAGGTTGCTGTGAGCGAGGCTGACGCCACAGCACTCTAGCCCAGGCAACAGAGTGAGACTCTGTCTCAAAAAAAAAAAAAAAAAAAAAGAATGAGAAAATTAAATTCGTGTTATTCCATTATTCGTAAGTCTGGCCTTCTGGCTGTTTGACATAATAGTAAATTACAAGGAAAGCCATAATGATTATGAAAACGGATACCACCTGTGGAATGCTTCCTATGTGCCTGTCTTCTAAGTGATATATGTGAATTTTACTCATTTATTCTTCACAATAATCCTGTGAGCTAGAGGTAGATACCAGTTTTATCCATAGTTCACAGATAGGGGAATTGAGGCATGAGCTCTTCCCTCAATCACTGAGCTGTCAGCAGGTGGAGACACTAAGAAAGAGAGAGAAATGTAGTAAAGCCCGTGACTTTTCTTCTGTGCTAACTTTTGAAACGTCCCTTCCACCTCCTGCTCCAGGATTAGCAGAGTGGAGGAGTCGGCTCTGAGAGCCCTGCGGGAAAAGCTGTTCGCCCATTCCTCGGACCTGCTTGGTGAATTTAAGAAGTACGATGCAGGTCAAACTGGTAAGACTCTTTTCCCTGATTAATTAAAAGATTTGTAGAGGAAGGAAGCTGGTCAGAAAATCTCTCTCTCTTTCTCTAGCAAATAAATATTTAGTGAATGACTAAAAGTAGTCATTTGACTACTTCCTCCATTTTATTCAACTTAATGCCCATTTATTTTTTCCTAAATTTTGAACTTCTAAGCTTTGAACAGAATATGAACTTGGCCAAAGATAGAGGGAGATTGTGAAAAAGAAATAGAGTCAGGGGAACAGTGACAAGGCCAGAACTAAGCAAAAAACAATGAGTGGGAGGAGTTATAAGAGTGTAGCAAAGGCCAGGTGTGGTGGCTCATACCTATAATCCCAGCAGTCTGGGAGGCCGAGGCAGGAGGATCGCTTGAGCTCAGGAGTTCGAGACCAGCCTGAGCAAGAGGGAGACCCTGTCTCTACTATAAATAGAAAGAAATTAGCTGGACCACTAATATATATAGAAAAAATTAGCCAAGCATGGTGGCGCATGCCTTTAGTCTCAGCTACTTGGGAGGCTGAGGCAGGAGGATCGCTTGAGCCCAGGAGTCTGAGGTTGCTGTGAGCGAGGCTGACGCCACGGCACTCACTCTAGCCTGGGCAACAGAGTGAGACTCTGTCCCCTCCCTCCAAAAAGAGTGTAGCAAAAAAGATCTATGACTTGACGGCTTGTTGCTGAGTGTGTGTGCACCTGTTCCATGATCTATCATCTAAGTTAAAAATTTTGTCTTTGCCCAACTCAATGAAAAGTTTAATGGACATTTCCCAAATATAGCCCCATTTAACCACTTCGGGACCTGCGTGGACTGCAGCCGACAGCCGTGATAGGACTTTTCTAATTTTTCATTTATCAAAATAAAACTGTGAACATTTAAAAATAACATAATTAAAACATATATTTGTGTTACCTATTCTGATTTACATTTCGAGTGAAGCGGCCTGTAAAGTCCGACGAGCTCTCGGGCTCTCGAGCTTCCGTCCTCGCCGCGGGAGACCCCGCGGATGCGCCCTGCGCCCTGCGGCCCGGCCCGGCCACGCCGGAGTGGTTAGAACTAGCAGTAGCGTTCATGGATTCTTAGCAATGTCTTTTCATACACACATATGTGTAGCCTTCCAAGAGTTTGAGTGAATAATATAGTCTAAGGAATTTAGGAGAGTTAATTTAAAAGAAAGCAACAATGCTGCATATGTATAATGTTTTCTGATATTTACACAAGGTTTTGCGTAGCTTCCAGTAGTGTTGCCAGATTTAATAAGTAAAAAATTCAGGATGCCTAATTAGATTTGACTTAGACAGACAAAAAATAATTTTTCTTTTCTTTTTTTTTGAGACAGAGTCTCACTCTGTTGCCTTGCCTGGGCTAGAGTGCCGTGGCGTCAGCCTAGCTCACAGCAACCTCAAGCTCCTGGGCTCAGGCGATCCTCCTGCCTCAGCCTCCCGCATAGCTGGGACTACAGGCATGCGCCACCATGCCCGGCTTATTTTTTCTATATATTTTTAGTTGGCCAGCTAATTTCTATTTATAGTAGAGACGGTCTGGCTCTTGCTCAGGCTGGTCTCGAACTCCTGAGCTCCAGCGGTCCTCCCGCCTCGGCCTCCCAGACAGGGTGGCAACACATACTCTCCCGTCCTACCGGGCACATTGGGCCTCGCTGCCCGCGCCACGCGCGGTGCACCGGGCTCCCGCGCTCCAGCGGGAAGCGCGGGGCAACCCCGCGGGCGGGCGCTGAGGAGGCGCGACGCCCACGCGCTCTCTCCGCAGGCCGCGTGGCGCCGAGCGACTGGGCGGCGGCCGTGGAGGCCGCGCTGCGCCTGCGCCTGCCCTGGCGGCTGCTGCGGCCGCAGCTGGCGGGCGGCGCGGAGGCCGACGGGGACGGCGCGCTGCACTACCGCGCCTGGCTGGCCGGCCTGGCCCAGGCGCCGCCGAGCCGCGAGGTAGGAGCGGGCGAGAGGGCGGGCCGGGGCGCGGGGGCGGGGCGCGGGGCGGGCCAGGGGCGGGAGGGGGCAGGGCAGGGGGCGGGAGGGGGCAGGGCAGGGCGCGGGGGCCGGGGGTGTGTGGACGCGGGGGGCGGGGCCTTAAGACCCAGGTTCTTTCCTGGGCGCCATGCTGCCCCTCCGCTTTAAAAGCGTATTTATTCAATAAATATTTATTGGCTGGGCGTGGTGGCGCATGCCTGTAGTCCCAGCTACTCGGGAGGCTGAGGCAGGAGGATCGCTTGAGCCCAGGAGTTCGAGGTTGCTGTGAGCGAGGCTGACGCCACGACACTCCAGCCCAGGCAACGGAGCAAGACTCTGCCTCAACAAAAATTTAAAAATTAAAATAATAATAAAAGAAAATTTATTGAATATATAACATATGTGAGAACTTGATATATGAGAACTCACAGCTCTTTTACCAGCTTTGTTGCAGTATAATTCACATACTGTGCAACTCATCCATTTAAAGTGTACAATTCAGTGGTTTTTAATATATTTACAGATAACAGCAACCATTACCACAGTTTTAGAGCATTTTTATCGTGGGGTGGGAACTTCTTAAACCACTAGATTGTTTGGTAGGCTAAAGCAGGGTGGCGGGGATGGAGGGAAGGTAAAATACCTTCAGGTTATTTTAAGAGTGGCTGTCAGCATTGTGTGGTAACTATATATTAGAACAAGCCTAAACAGAAGACATACATAGAAAATGAGTTTTTTCTTGCAGAACATACAGTCAAGTTTGCTGGAAAAACTATATCGAAACCGATCCGACCTGGAGACCATTTTTAGGATCATAGACAGCGATCACTCAGGTAAAGGCACTCACTATGCTATCACTTCGGATGCACAGCAGGCATTTTAACCGCAAACCCTTTTGTCTTCTTCCCAATTCGTACGGATTAATCTCCACTCAGGCATTTGGGGAGCAAAGTAGGTACACGCAATGCTTCTAAACGGCAGACACTAATAAAGTACTGGAGCAGAACAAGCATCCCACATGGAAAGGGGCAGAGCAGACGAGGATGAAGACAAACTAAATGAGAACTTCTTCCAGGAGGAATGATTATTAGAAGATAAGACATCCTGGCCGGGTGTGCTGGCTCACGCCTATAATCCTAACACTCTGGGAGGCTGAGGCAGGAGGATTGCTTGAGGTCAGGAGTTCGAGATCAGCCTGAGCAAGACCGATACCCCGTCACTACTAAAAATAGAAAGAAAATTAGCCAAACAACTAAAAGTATATGAAAAGAAATTAGCCGGGCATGGTGATGCATGCCTGTAGTCCCAGCTACTCAGGAGGCTGAGGCAGCAGGATCACTTGAGCCCAGGAATTTGAGGTTGCTGTGAGCTAGGCTGATGCCACAGCACTGTAGCCCGGGCAATAGAGTGAAACTCTGTCTCAAAACAAAGAAGATCCCTTATAATTCTATCAAAGGCAGCCACAAATTAATAAAAAGTGCCTAGAACAGAAAGGACTTTGTAATCAATAATAAAAGGAAAGTATGTTTTAAAAAACCTTTAAATTTTGAAATAATTATAGATGCATAGGACATTATACAAGAAAACGTACGGGGAGGTTGTGTACGCTGTCACCCTGTTCCCCCAATGGTCCAGAGGATTTTTCAATGTTATTACTCTTTTTTTGAGGTATAATTCACATAGCATATAATTCACCCATTTAAAGTATACCCATTAAAGTTTTTAGTGTATTCACAGGGTTGCTTGACCATCACCACAGTCTAGTTTTAGTACACTTTCATTGCCCCAGAAAGGAACCCCATGCTCGTTAGCAGTCGCCCCGTTCCCTGTCCTCCTCCACCAGCCCTGGCAGCCCTGGTGCACATCTGTCTGTGGATTTGCCTGTCCCAGACACTTCATATAAATGGAGCCACACAACAGATGGCATTTGGTGTCTGTGTGCTCTCATTTAGCGTAATGTTTTCAAGATTCTTCCATGTTGAAGCAGTATCAGTTCTTCATTCCTTTTTATGGCTGAATAACACTCCATTGTATGGATATACCACCTTTTGTTTCTCCGGTCACCACTTAATACACATTTGGATTGTAGCCACTTTTTGGCTTTTACGCATGATGCTTTTATGAACATTCATGTGCACCCTTTTGTGTGAACATGTATTTTCAGTTCTCTTGAGTGTGTGCCTAGGAGTGCAGTTGCTGGGTCATATGGCAATTCCATGGTTAACTTTTTGAGGAGCCGCCAAAGTCTTTTCCACAGCGGTCACATCAGCTTACATTCCCACCAACAATGTATGAGGGTTTCAGCTTCTCCACACCCTCACCCAACATGGTTATTTCCTTTTGTGTTTTTTTCAGTTTTCATAATAGCCATCTTACTGGGTATGAAGTATCACGTTATGGTTTTGATTTGCATTTCCTTAATCACTAGTTATACTGAGCATCTTTTTGTGTGCTTATTGGCCATGTGTATATCTTCTTTGGACAAATGTCTATTTAAATCTTTTGTCCATTTAAAATTTGGGTTATTTGCCTTTTTATTTGAGTCGTAAGAGTTATTCCTGTATCCTAGATAGTAGGCCATTTTCAGATACGTGCTTTGCAAACATTTCTTCTGGTTTTGTGGATTGTCTTTTCACTTTCTTAGTGGTATCCTTTGATGCACAAAAGTTTTTAACATTTAAAAATTTCAATTTATCTTTTTCTTTTGTTGTTTGTGCTGTGGGTGTCATAGCTAAGAAACTGTTGCGTAACCCAAGGGCACAAAGATTTACACTTATTTTTCCTTCTAAGAATTTTATGGTTTTAGCTCTTACATTTAGGTCTCTAATTCTTACTGAGTTAATTTTTTTTAATATAGTATGAGGTAAGGGTCCAACTTCATTTTTTTGAATGTGGACATCTAGTTGCCCCAGAAAGACAATTCTTTGCCCATCAAATGATATTGAAACCCTTCTTTAAAATAGCTTGACTATTTTAGATTAGACAAAATAGATGTATGGATCCAAAGATTTATGGCTTTTTATAAGCAGAATAAATTAATGTACATTTGAGATGATTTAATGCCGGGTTTTGCAGCAGTGGTACGATTGGCATAATTCTTTGTTTCGCGGTGTATCTTGTACATTGTAGGATATCTAAAAGCATCCTTGGCCTTTGTCTGTTAGATGTAGCACCTCACCCCCACGTCAGTCGCCATGACCAGAAATGTCTCCAGACCTGGCCAGTGTCCCCTGAGGGAGAGGAGCAGAGCTTCCCCAGTGGCACCGAGGCCACCCAGGGGTTTCGCGGGGCCCTCACGGGAGTTTGCCCCAGACACTAGCCCCGGGGTCTTTGCTCAACAGTAAGGAGCAGGTGTCCCTGTGAGGGTGTCAGAGGAAATAAGCATTGGAAACCAGACAGATTCACTGAAGTGACCCCCTCTGCTAAGGGTTCATCTCGCTGGATGAGTTCAGACAGACCTGGAGGCTGTTCAGCTCGCACATGAACGTGGACGTGGCGGACGACTGCATCTGCGACCTCGCCCGCAGCATTGATTTCAACAAGGACGGCCTCATCGACATCAACGAGTTCCTGGAGGCCTTCCGCCTGGTGGAGCAGTCCTGCTCGGACGGCGGCAACGCGGGCGCGGGGGCGGGCGCGGGCGCGGGGGCACGTGCGGGCGCGGGGGCGGGCGCGGGGGCGGGCGCGGGGGGCGGGCGCGGGGGCGGGCGCGGGCGCGGGCGCGGGCGCGGGCGCGGGCGCGGGCGCGGGCGCGGGGGCGGGCGCGGGCGCGGGGTCACGTGCGGGCGCGGGGGCGGGCGCGGGGACAGGCTAGCACCAGCCGCTCTTCATCGCCCACCGAGCCTCCCGGCAGTGCGGAGCGTGGTGCGGGACGTGTCCCGACTCCCTGTGGATTTGTGGAGCTTCGTGCGGAGGATTTGCCTGCCGGTGTGCGGCAGAGTCGCCCGTGTGTTTGGGTGTGTGTGGCGCGTGTGTGCGTGTCCTTTTCTGGATAAAGGTGCCCTGCTCACATGTCTATGGCTTCACAGAGTAGAACTCAGGTATGAGGACTGTTAACGTCCCAGGTCTAGTCAAGCTAAGAGGCACTGATAATTCAACTCCTTCATTACTTTTATTTTATACCTTTTATTTATTGTTTTTAAAATGTCATATTGGTAAAAGAGAATTATGAAAAATTGTACTTGTAATCCCATGATGCAAACGTAGGAATGTTTTTATTATTTACTTTTTCTTACTTGTAACTATAGTGTTTGTATACTTTTATATTCTGCTTTCTTTAAAATAAATTCACATCTAATTGTAAATACCTTTCCATGTTGCTATGTAGTCTTCATGATTATTACTTTAATGCCTCCATAATTTTCTTTCTAATGGATACACTATCATCTATTCAGCCCTTCTTCAGTTGTTAAACATGTATATTGTTTCTACTTTTTCATTTTTATATATAACACTATGGTTAATAACTTCATATTAATACATATAGCTTGTTTTACACAAATCTTTTGATTTGTACATTTTCTTAGTATAAAAATCCCAGGAATGGCATTGCTTTGTCAAAGGATGTATTAGTCTGCGTTCTCTAGAAAAACAGAGCCAATAGGCTATTTCCACACATATTTACTATAAGGAATTGGCTCACATGATTACAGAAGCAGAGAAGTCCTGAGGTCTGTAGTTGGCAAGCCGGAGAGGCGGGAGAGCTCCTGGTGTAATCTCCAGTCTCAATTCAAAGTGTTGGCCAGGCGCGGTGGCTCACGCCTGTAATCCTAGCACTCTGGGAGGCCAAGGAAGGAGGATCACTCAAGGTCAGGAGTTCGAAACCAGCCTGAGCAAGAGTGAGACACTGTCTCTACTAAAAATAGAAAGAAATTAATTGGCCAATTAAAAATATATAGAAAAAATTAGCTGGGCATGGTGGCACATGCCTGTAGTTCCAGCTACTCGGGAGGCTGAGGCAGGAGGATCGCTTGAGCCCAGGAGTTGGAGGATGCTGTGAGCTAGGCTGACGCCACGGCACTCTAGCCCGGACAACAGAGTGAGACTCTGACTCAAAAAAAAAAAAAAAATGCTGAGAATCAGAGGAGGCAGTGATGTGAGTGCTAGCTTGTGTCCAGGCACAAAGACGACTGAGGTCTCAGCTCAAAGGCAGAGAGAAAGAATTCTCTTTACTCAGGCTCTTATTACATTCAGCCTTCAGCAGGGAGGAGAGGCCCACTCACCCTGGAGGGCAATCTCCTTTACTCAGTCTACGGACTCTAATATTAATCTCCTCCAGAAAGACCCTCACAGACACCTGTAAATACTGTCTAACCAAATATCTGGGAACCCTGTGACCCAGGCAAGTTGACAGGTAAAATTAATCGTTACAGGTGTGAACATTTTTTTTTTTTTTTTTTTTGAGACAGCGTCTCATTTTGTGGCCTGGGCTAGAGTGCCATGGCATCAGCCTCGCTCACAGCAACCTCAAACTCCTGGAGTCTGGCAACACTCCTGCCTCAGCCTCCAAAGTAGCTGGGACTACAGGCATGTGCCACCATGCCGGGCTATTTCTTCTATATATATATTTTTTAGTTGTCCAGCTAAGTTCTTTCTATTTTTTAGGTAGAGACAGGGTCTCACTTTTTTTCAGGCTGGTCTCAAACTCCTAAGCTCAAACGATCCACCTGCCTCAGCCTCCCAGAGTGTTAGGATTACAGGCATGAGCCACTGTGCCTAGCCAAGGTGTAAACATTTTAATGGCTTGATACATATTGCCAGATTGATTTTCTGAACAGGGCACACGAATTTTACCATAAACTCATAGCATTGAGTGGGATCATCTCTAATTTCT